CTTTAGCGAGATCCAGATGATAAGGAAGGATTCAGCTCTTTTAAAGCAGAATTCGCACATTTACTCTATGTTTTACTTTAAATTATTGTTCTTTTTTTTATTTAGTTTCTAACATAGGAAGATGCCGAAAAAATTAAAATTCATGTAGGATCCCTGTTGAGGATTGTGTGTGTTGAAAGATCGGGCTATGTTCCTCACCTTTACGCAGGGTTTTTATTGTGCCGCCACCGACAGAACCCTACATAGTTCATGTAGGATTAGCGTGGAAAAAATCCCGCAAAAAGGTAAAATAGATCGCCGGCTAATCAAATTAATTTCAACAATCAAATTAATTTGGCAAAACATTTTGGATCGTCACAAGGGGATTAAAGGATGGGGGAATCCAATGTTAGAACTGCAATCATTTCTTACATTTCAAATGTTCACACATCATCAGATTGATGGACCGATTACAAATGTGCAGAATGATTATACGTTGTGGAATGAAGGAAGGGTCTCGCCTTTCGGCAGACATCCGAATTTTGAATCAACTGGCGAAGCTCTCCAAATTCATGCACCAAATGATTCATTGTTGGACAGGGTAAGCCTTCAGAGAGCTGTTTCACAATTTCTCAATCTTTTTTTAGACAAACAATGGACTTTAAGTCGTTGGAATGCTGGATTAAACAAAAATTTACAAACTTACATTGATACATCATTGAATGGCGATAAATTAGATGTCAATACGTTAATCCAGTTGCAAAGAAGGCGCGAAATGGTGAAATATGCTGTTAATGATTGTTTAGCAGTTAGTCGTATATCATCTGAAATTTCAAAATTATCACAGCAACATAAACAACAACAACATCAATCCGCTTCATCACCTCATCCTCAACAAATAGCTTCATCACTACCAATATCGTCTCCACCATCATCAGAACAACAGCCGTCCTCAACTCCTTTACCTTCTACAATAGAACCTACGTCTACCGTGCTCATTTCACCATCATCACAACCTGCAATTTTAGTAACAACCACATCTTCATTAGCTAATCAACGTACGTCCAAATATTGGCGGAATAGAAAGACCGATATAAGATGAAGAAAGCGACGCTATCATTACTCAGTGAATGTTTTATTACATAAAAATTTTTCGTTGCCAGCTGTTTATCGTCATTTAAAACAACATAATTTTGGAGTTATTCATGTGAAAGACAAAACTGAAAATCGCGAACGTCGATTAATTATCGGGTTTAAGAGCTCCTCATATCGTGATCAATATCGTCAAAATTTATCTGAAAATCTATCTTTATTTCAAACTATTTCAAGTGTTATAGTTTCAATTATTAGCTCGTAAATTTGACTTAAAAAAAAAGAAAAGAGAAAAGAAATAGGTGACACTTATTAAATAACCTTTAGTCTGCGCTTGATGTTTTTCGCACGGCACATTACGTTGTTCTTTTCTCTAAAATGATTTTGTTACGACTGATCTTTCACCAGTGGGTATATACGCATTTTTCTACTCTAACACTTCCTGAATTCAAGATTTATGGAAACTCAACTTTGATGTGTGATTTTCAAAATTTATATTGTTATTTTTCTTGCGATAAACTGTCCGATGTTTTATTATTGTGTGTCTCAGCTCATATTATTTTGAATACCAGCCAGAATTTATGTGATCAAAAGCTTTTGTTTTTTTACTCATCTTTAATCAAATAAAAAACCCAAAAGATGCAAAAAAAAATAAAATAAAATAAAAAAAAAGCAAAAAATTGTTCTTATCCATTAGCTTCACTATTGTTACATTTGCTATATTTTTGTTATTATTGATTTATTGATCACTCTCTCTTACTTCTTTTGATGTCACGTTTTCGGATCGATGTTACATCCTTTTTCGGAGGGGAAGGGTGTTACGAAC